ATTGAAGAATTTTTTCCCCTATTTTTTTACAGTTAGTGCAGCTGGTATGTGGAATACATTACCTGCTAGCATTCGTGGCAGTCAACCGGTTGCATGACTCAAACGCAAATTAAAAGAGCCCTACGACGAATTTAACAAAATTCGGAAGTTAATCAGTAACATAAATATAAACTGATAATTTGTTTTGATAATAATATTATATTGTATATCGTTTTTATTTCAGTCATGTTTATATTGTCGCCATTGATGAATTATATTTAGATTTAAATTTTAAATAATTCTATTGTACAATAATGTCCCGCAGACTCACTTTATTCACCACGGCTAGGGTTGACAGGAAGAGATAATCTCACCTTTGTGTATGTCCTTTCTAACATGTAATTTTTAATGTCACTTATTTGTGCAATAAAGAATTATAAATGTAATTAGAAAGTAATAAACCATCAATGTTGATTTCTAGACAATGTGTTATGAATGTTATTGAGTTTATTTCCTAATATTTAAAACAGAACCATTCTCGCAGAACTTGGACTTGATCGATGAAAATGTTGACACTACACAGCTACTACTATCTTAAAGCATGTATTACAGTCCTTTATGTCTATACCTGCATTCATACAGCAATTTGTAAAAACAAAGACATACGAGTTTAACTAAATCAATTTACAACCATGCAATTAATTATAATTACACAGAGTTGAAACAGTTGAGACAACCGCTTTATTTTAAGTAATTAACATTTTAGCACCCCAGTATCCGCGAGACATGTTATAATGCTGTAAAACGACAAAATGAGAATATTTTAACACAACGCCAACGGGCTGTACCACAGACATTATTTAGATAGACGCCGCAAGGGTACGAACTTCGCGTGCCCAAAGTAAGTGAAATTCACCTATTTGCCGCTGCTATACTTTAGAACGCGCTCGACCGTTGTCGTGGATAAACACCAATCGAAAACGCGAAACATGCATAATTGTACCATTATAAACTGCAAAAGCACCATAAATGTGGGTAAACGGGAAAACAGGGACGTTTCCTTACACGGGCAAGTGATTTTGTAATCAAAAGATACATAATTTATTTTAAACACAATTATTTCGGGATTGAATGAATTTCGAGAAAGCAAATGTGCAACCGAGTTATGCCTCATGATTTGTAATACATTGTGGCTTTTACTTGATGTGACATATTTGTGAGCCTTTTTTAACAAGCCATGAGTTCAGTTTCGTGGTATGGTCGCTTGTATATTTTTTTGGCCAAATTTAACATTTATTTAGTGATTACGCTAGGAAACACTGTCCTCGATTCTGATCGATTTTGAAAACAAAGGGACGAAAATTATTATCACCTCAGCAATATTATAAAAATATTCTTTATCTCTTTTGTTGTAACGTTTCGTTTTTTTTTCAGTTTTGTAGTATCTATTATCAGTAGTATCTGTAATTTCGATCATTTTTGCAGCACGTTGCCTCGAATGTCCGAATATAGTGAGCAAATAATTACATACATCGTGGGATATGTAGTACGAGTAATACAAAAAAATATATAATGCAAAGAATTAACAGTGCGCTATCTTTACAAAAACCTGGAGTTGGTCATACGTATGAGTTCGTTGCTTTCGAGTACGAAGGTGGTGTAGTTTATTCCACCTAAGATGCTATCCAAATATGCAGAGTAGCAGAGTCAGAAATCAGAGAAATAATAAACAATTCACAAAAATTTCACCCGAGGCCGTCAAAAAGTAAACCTCTTCTGATAAATAAGATTTTATCATATTTTGTCAACAGTAACATTTTCATTTGTCTTGCCATTCATCAATTTGACAATTATCAACAGAAAACCATCTAGTAAATAATTAATTAAGGCAGTCGCTAGTTCATATATTGACGTGTTTGTGTGACGTTTTCATTATTTAAGTTAATCGATAAGATCTTCTATTACAGGAAGAAGTTATATAATAAGCTCATTTTAGTGGAAGGACAATAATTTTAATATTTGAAGTCGATTAAAAATGAAAGTCTTCATTTTTTTAAGTAATTAACATTATTTTAAATCGAGTAAAATAAAAGACTTAACTATCTTATTCTAGTATTTTTCTACTATTTTAATATTACGACTACTTGTAATCAACAAATAATTGAACAAAAATTATTCTATTCAGAATCGAATGGAATACACGTGTTTTCGCGTATTCCGTTCAACCAATCGATTTAGAGTGAGCGGAAGGAGGTTTCCATTACTAAATAGTTCTTGTTACGTCATAGTGGGTACACAAAATGTGGCACGCTTGGTTTTCATACAAATTGCTGTACTTGCAGCGTCTATCTAGACATGCGTCTGTGCGCTGTACACACAAAATTTATAATATTATGTATGATGCATCTTTATGGCCTACCGTGTGAGGCCAGCCACAGGGATTGTACATTTATCGGCTACTTCCTATTCAAGTGGACTTTACACGCTTCTTGCGGTTGACGACTCTCGTTACTCGTGAGACGTTTCATCCTTTTTTTTACTCATGCTTTATATGATCAGGCAAGAGATTCAAAAGGGTAATTTCAGACAGTTGCTATGGCTCTGTAAATTTCTCAAATGCATATATGTGGATCAGGCATTTAGCTCGGTTAGAGTTAGTTTAACACGATTTCCCACTGCTCAGTCGGAATCAGGTGACGATATTTTATGTCCAAGTTAAAGTAAACTTTTTTTTTTATTATAATACCAACTAACGGGACGATCAAGTCATGCCTCTAGTGGTAAGTGACACGCCTACCCATAACAAATGCAGTGCCACCCAGAGCTTTAAATCGTAAAGATCTAAGAGGCACTGACACTGCACCCATCATCATGATATATAATTTGACAAGTTCCATGTGCCTGTAATTTCACCAGCACCCTTACCCTTCCAAACCGGAACGAAGTAATGCTCACATTTTACTGCTTGGCGGCAGAAATAGGTAAGGTGGCAGTACTTCCCTGGACGAACTCTTTCACAAGAAGCTCTACCGCTACTAAAACTTGTGGAAAGCAGTGTAAAAGGAGGATAAGTTACGTATTTTTGATATATTTTCTAGAAATTCTAAATAACGGCGCTGAAAGAAAATTTCGAAAACGTTTCATAACTCATGGAAAAACGGACTTCACTGTCCCGAATTAGAGGAGTTCTAGGCCCAGCAGTGGGACCTACAGTAGTTTGATAACGATGGTGATGTGGCATGCAACCGTTGTTTACATATCAGTGTTGTCTTCACTATTATGATAGAACCATGCCTTGCTTAAGCCCGACGCCCTTTAGCGAGATGGTATCCCTACAAATTGGCGGCAAATATGCAAGTGTGGTACTCTTAGGCCGAAGCATACCGTCGCGACATCGTGCTCGAGCGTAGCATCTATTCAGATAAGTTGTAACGTTAAACGTTTACGTAAGTCTTTTAAGACTGCCGAAGTATCCGATGGCTGGCAAGACATTCTGGAGGCTCCTCGATATCTTTAAGCTTACCGCAGGTTTGTATTCGTAGTTACGACCGTTATCATTGAAATTTCAACTATGACGTCATAATATTAAGGTATATAACTAACTATACGTCACCTAAACATTCCCCGGCGTGCCATCCCGCCAAAGTGGGCACCGGGTGCGAAGTGCGTACCTATGTTATTTGCGATAAGTGGCTGGAGGTAGTCTACCTATCGCGTGTGGCTTATGTGTGGTCACCCTTAAATCATTTTTAATTATTTTCAAGTTTTATATGAGTCTCACGTTTAGTCGAAAACATAAATAAGTTAAAAAAACACATATAGCTTCTAATGTTGCAGGATTCTGTTTAATTAGTCGCCTTTATCTACATTTTCAGTATTAGGCCTGTGGGTTCTGGAAAATTGTTTTGTTAATTATAGGATGTGGGAGACGTAATGGAAGCTTTTAGCATTTGGACGTGTTCGTGATATTAAATTATGGCGTTATTTTGAGATTATATGGCGCAGAATTATGGCTTTATTTGCATGTTAATCGCTACTGCGATCAAGTACATCAAGTTATGTAATAATTCAATTTATTATTATCATCGAATTAATATAGTTTTAGTAATATTTATACTTTAGTTTTAATAGATCTTTTAGTTTAGAGACTAATTTTGGTTTAAGGTTTGAAGAACCATGTAAATGGTACCAATAATTATAACATTTTTATAAAAAGATTGACCTCAAAAGTTCGTGAAATTACATTTATTTGCCAAATTTTATTGAAATCAGTTACCGAAAAGTGCGCGAAACCGGATTCATCCTCTCGTTTGCCACCCTTACAGGTGAAATATTTTCTACAACTTTAAATGGAACCAATACTGAGGTACCCTCTTTCAAACAAAAAAGAATCATCAAAATCGGTTCACAAGTCAGTTGTCGCGTAAGATACATACCTACCAAAAAATACAGTCGAATTGAGAACTTCCTCCTTTTTTGAAGTCGGTTAAAAATAACTCCATGAAACAATTAACTGAAGCGATGGTTCATAAATTACTAATTAATACAATTTGGATTACTACGTCGTCACGTTACTGTGATAAAGCCATAGCTGCAAAATAACAACTTTTCAAGAGGTACATTTGAAGATTCTATGAACCAAATTAGACGGTTACTTTATCATGCTTAAGTAGAAGAGTTTTAAAATTTCATTTACTTACACATAATTGGATTCATATATTCCTTATTACTTTTAAGATTTTCAATGTTACACGTATGTTTATACACATGGGGCTTCATTATACCAAAGGTATAAAGGATTTAATTAGCGCGTTCCTGAAAGAAACAACAAAAACGGTTCATCGCCATCTAACGGCATCTTACCTAAACTACAAACAAATCAATGTTTATGTTAATAGAATTCTTAACTACTGGAATAATTGTGTCCGCGTGTGTTATAACCTCTCTTAGCATTTTTCTTATTATTATGTTGTTACAAGACAGTATTGTTATATTATAATCTATTTCTTTTTTTCTCGCAGGGCATTGAATACAGAAGGTTAAGGAACTCGGCACCCTCGTTATCATGGATGTCCAGGTCACGACGAGTGGCGCCCAGGCATCGCATCATAAACCCTAACGAAGGTACGACTTATTTAAAGCCAGCAATACATGTTGGCCCAGGGTCGCCATATGAAGGCCAATACCAACATAAAGCCTATTTGCCTTGCCTTGCCATCGCTCGATGTCGTTCGCCTAGCTGGCCGAGTGAAGGCGAGCGCCAACGTGTATAGAGCCCATTTTGGTGTGGCATGTGACAACTCGCAGTCACTAGTGACCACTCATCTCACTTCGGAGCGGTGTCGGTTTTTCCTTACAAATCAAAAACGCTCGGCCATTACATTTTACACATTATTTGCGTTCTTTATTTTAGCACTGCAATGACTTAGGTACATTTTCTCTGAATAAATTATTATTTTTATACGAAAGGTGGCAAATCATGTAAGTGCTAAACAACATGCTAAGCTTTAACAGCATGGATCATATTTACGATATAGAATTGAAACCGAAGTCGTACCGTCGTCCGTATTTTAGCAGTAAAAAGATGCGCTTTCACGAAATTTTTGGATTCAGATTTTCATAAACTATCAAGTAAGATTTACTATGTTACAGCGTATAAAAAAATCCAATTTTTCCTGCTGACAACGAGAACATTGTAGTGTTAACACTGACGACACTGCCAGCATTTCAAATTCTTAGCCTACTATGTATGTTAGTTTGAGGTTTTTGATATAGCAACGAACGTGCTGTTTGCCGGTACGTTACCTAAACAAGCATCTATAAAGGTACACTAACATATACAAAGGTACTAAATAAGCACCTTTATATATATACCTTTATATGCTTATTTAGGTACAGTATCTATTAGGTACTATACTTTATTAAGAAAGATACCAAATTTCCTATCGGTAGTGTGTTCAAAATGGTTGAATAACAAACTTGATAAAAATAATAATATGGACTGCGTTATATGTTTTCTAATTTAATTTTTCCGGCAATTTCTCCCCTAGAAGTACTTTTGCTAACTGTAAATTGTACCCATAACCTTATAATAATGTCATCTTATACTGGTTGTTGAATAGACGTGGCCCCAAACTAGGTAAGCTTAAACTTGGTATTTAAAAAAACAACGTACGATTTTTTCTTATAAAAGATTTTAGCAAATGTGATTTCTTGGCGTTGACAAATGTTCGTCGGCATCACACTATATTAGTTTTATCGTCTCATATTATTACTTACATAACACGCCTAAAAATTGGTCAAAATACATACTGTAACTTTTCCTTAGGTGAACTTTAAATAAGTAAAAGGAATACATTTGCGAATGAAGTAATTCTAATGTAAAAATTCTATACAAGCACGTCATCGTCGTTGACTTACTATTACATGAATGAATTTATAATAAACACATTCGTATTGACATCGCAAATGTATTTATTTGTGCAAGTACAAAAAACCTGATTTGAATAAGTATTGATAGCAAAAACATAAATTAGACGAGTTTCTGAGCCCATTTAATTTTGAATCTATATAATTTACCGGGTAACTGACCAATCATACTAAGAAATTCAATAATAATTTGATCATTCATTATCGAAGGTCAGTTCCCATTTTTAGATTCAAAATTACAAGGCCTTATAAACTCGTAAACATACGAAACATTTAAGCAAACAATAAAATGTTATACAAAATATTCTGAAATATTTTGAAAAAGACATGATGACATGATGAAAAATAATGACACATCCACAAAATTATTTGAATGAAAATTAAACTCCGAAATGACGAACGGAATACCACCGCAAGATCTGGTAAACTCTACCCAATAAGAACGAATTGCATTATAACAAAACTTCACCGAGCTTACTTCTAAGTGAGTAAAGGGTTTTTATTTAATTATTTTATTTTTGTCGAAAAGCATGAAAATCAGGCGGCACCCATGACTAATCCCAAAAATTTATGTTTTTTTTTACTCGTGATACTTAAAGTCGGAGTGCGGTATTTGCACAACTGACGGAATATTATATTGTTTAGATTCCGGAAGTCAATTTGCGTATTTTATTGAATTATTCGAAAATATTATAAGTAGCTTATGTAAAAGGGTAGGAGGATATGTAGCTTAATCTAATGTAGTACAAAATGATGATAATCTTTTTGTTAGGGTCAACGAACGTTTTAACGAACGTTTTAACATATACTTTGTTCTCATACCACAAAAATGACGAACTGCTTGTATTTTATCTCAGTTTTGTGAACAGATTTAAAAAATACTCCTGGCGGCAAAGAGACAACTTATAATTGTTTTATTCTTTTAGTAGCAGTTAGAGCTCCCTGTGAAAGAATTCCTCCACGGCGGTACTGCTACCTTACCTACTTCAGCCGCCGAGTAGTGAGCATTACAGTTTTAAAGTGTAAAGGTTCTGGTGAAATTACAGGCACACGGAACTTGTCAATTTTATATAGTGTCGCTTACCATAAGGCGCGCCGCGACTTGTTCGCCCGGTTACTTGATATCATACCAAAAAATTATTGTAGCATGTTTAAATGCGTTTTTCTTCTTTCCATTACTAAGTCATGTCGGTGTAACATCCTGTGGGTCACATCATAATATTTTGGGATGTGCATTTATCCGCAATTACAAATAATAATTATTATGGTGATAGCCTCAAGACAAATGGCGAAAGAAACATTAGCTGTTTCACAATTTACCCTGTAATTGGTGTGGTTGATTGGCACGTAAAATACAAAAAAACTGAAATGATCGTGAACCAAACAAACCACAAGAAAATAGGTAATGTGACTCTTTCATAACTTGGATTTTTCACTTTGAAAAAGTATATAGGTAAAGCATATGTAGTACAATACTGCATTAGAACAAATTGTAATAATGTTGATAATCCATTAGTCCTGTAAAATAAGAACAATAAATGCACGAGATGATATCTTAAAACGTAAGGCATGGTTTTAAATGACACTTTACGAAAACAAAAACTTAAAAGAGTTAAATAACTATTCTTATTTAATAAAATTTGAGGGTAAGGTCTTACTTCATTTCAAATTCCATTAAGTAACCTAGATAGCCGTCTTGTCCTCAACTATGCAAATTTTTTTAAGTAGTTTATGCAAAACGGGATAAATAATATCGGATAATCTGATGTAGAACAAAATGTTGATAATCTGTGTCAGGGTGAACGAACTATCTAACGATCGATTCTCGTGAACAAAGAACAAAATTTATTTGATCGCTTATCCTTTTTCTTAAATATCAAATGTTCCATATTCTTCATGTTCACTTACCGATCATTTCGGTTTTCTTTTTTGAGATTTAAATTATATTTATGTAACACTATGTATGTTTCTCTATTGTAAAATATTTGCACAGCAACATTCACCATCATAAATCAATTTTTTTATTTTATCTTTCTTTACTGTTAAAATATTTTAATTTTTTACCTTTATGCTTCAAGATATCTTAAAGAAAAAATACTTGTATTTATAATGTTCGTAAATACAAGTGTGTAACAAACACCACAACTCAACACTAATTTACCATATAAGCTATAAAAGTAAATTGCATTGTTTCGAATCATAGGGACTATGAGTGGCACTCCGGTACTTCCACCTGCTGGGATATTGGGATAAAAGCCCATAGAATCATCGTTACTTACCATCGATCGCCGGCTGCCCTTTCCAACTGGTGGGACCGTGAGCTGACATCGAGGAGTAGCGCGATTACGTCTCTTATATCGACCATACAACTACGTCAATAAAAGTCGTTGTGCATTTGGAGACTCGGACGACTTTCTTCACCCTCACGCGCTTCGTAAACCTATTACAAGTGTAAATTTTTTATTTATATTTTCTCGACCGATTTAGGAGAAACTTTAAATTTGACGAGCTCGATGGCTTGCACTGTCGGCAGTTGGTTCTGGTCTGAGTGTTCTAAGATGTACCCCGGAATAAATTCCGTTGCTCTTTTTTTATGACACCAAGTGACAGAAGGAACATGGCGTACGCCTGGAGGTAAGCCACACTCTTGCCTACAGTTGCAGTGCCACTCATAGCTTTATTTATTTATTTGGGATAACAACAGCAATAATGATAGGTTACAAAAAAATAATTACATATTACAAAGCCAATAACAGTTATCCTCGATTTATACATTAAAATAAAAACAGAACACGGAGCTTATAGACATAAGCGTGATAAATAATTATACAGATTATATACATACATAATTTTAAACATAACATTTAAACCTTGGGGTTTTTATCTTTGGAGACCTGAGGAGCATTGCCACTGCGCCCGTCATCCTGAGACATAAGTCGACAAGTTTCATATAGTCCATAATTTCACCAGCATTTATTTACTGCTTGGCGGCGAAAATATGTAAAGTAACAAAGGTAGCAATTACAGCTTCTTGTAAAAGAGTTTGTCCTGGGAAGTACTTCCCACTACTAAAAAAAGTCCCATTCCCAATTCCCTGTACTGCTATTCATAGTACAAGGAGTTGGTTGAGAGTAATTGTTTTGGTTGTTTGGTAAATATATTTTTATTATCATTATGTTTTTTTATAATATCAAGTGGCGGGACGAATAAGTCGTGTGCCTGATGATAAGCTACGCGCCTGTCCGTAACAGTTGCAGTGCCATCCAGAGCTTGAAATCGCAAATATTTGAGGGGCACTGCCACTGCGTCCGTTAACCTTGAAAGATAAAGTTGACAAGTCCCATGTGCCTGTAATTTCACCAGTACCCTTACCCTTTAAAAACCGGAACACTGTAACACTTGGCGGCAGAAATAGGTAAGGTGGCAGTATTGCCATGGAGGAACTCTTCCACAAGGAGCTGCTACTAAAATGCTACTAAATGTTTAAATATGTTTGGCGTATCAGGAATATTATATTACCTAGATTCTTATGTTGTAAAATGTTAAAAGTGGGAAAAAATGGTTTAGGTTCATGTAGGTACATTCTTTTGTACTATTAATTGTAAAGCATAAATTAAAATAAATAAATATTGAATTCTTATAATAATAAATCATTGTGGAATGCTGCTGCTGACTGTAACTTTGTTCAAAACGAGTGTCAATTCTGCTCCACCTTTCTGAAGTCTTACTTAATTAAGAATACTAAAGACGATATTTATCACGATCTCATTCGAGAATCGTAGAAATAGGCTCTACCGCTCAGCAATAAATGTAAGGTCCTGTAAACCGTTTTTAATAGTATTAGAAGCGTATTCTTTCTGCTTCTCCGCCGTACATTTTAAACCAGATTAAAAATGAACATACTTTTCGTATTGACACTTGGACAAATAACTTCCAACCCGAAGTTGTATTTCTGGCTGTGTAATAAATAAATACTTTAGACAACATCACATACGTTGCTTTGATCCCAAAGTTAGCAATCATAAACAACGACGGTACCACAAACACTCAGATCCGAGACAATGTAGAAAAGTTAGTTTTTTCTATATTAATCCTACCGGTGAGGACCTCGGAGATTTCAACACCATGAAAACCGGTGTGTGACCCACTCGACCACAGAGGTCGTCAATATATAAAAAATGCCATAATTAATTTATCAATTTCAATAACGGTCATTCTTACAAAGTAAATGGAATCATTATGCAATGTTTATTTACATACATAAATAATTGTTGTTTAATAAATACTATCAAGAAATCATGGAAAATGTTAGAGTTTATGAAGCGTACTTGTAAAAAATTTAGAAATCTACACGCAATGTTAACATTGTACAACTCGCTAATTCGGAGCACTCTTGAATATGCGACACCAGTTTGGAATCCGCATATATATAAAATAAAATAAGTGCGCATTTGACCTCCATCTCACCTGATAGAAAATGACGATGAGGTTGAGGGTGTAGCATGCACACCTAAATAATGCCTATTCACTCTCGCCTTGAAAAGGTCCAAGTTATAGCATTCGGGTACCAAGTCTGCAGGCAGAAAATTCCACTCCCTAGCCACTCGCCATTCGTCACTCGTGATACCACAGCTGTGAACCGTTCTTGGAAGATCAGGCGTACCAGGACACCTAGTATTCATTGTAAGAAAATTGTACGAAATAGGTTACGGCACTATTAAACTAGGAAATAGCACATCAAGACCTTTCAAGTTCAAGAAAGGCGTAAGACAGGGTTGTGTAATACCTCCCAATCTTTATAATATCTAAGGTGAATATATTATGCGAAAGCCCTTGAAGGATGGGAAGGAGGGGTGAAAATTGGAGGCATACAAATTTCAAATCTTCGATGTGCTGACGATACAACTTTGTTTGCCTCAACAGAACTTGAGGTGGTGGAGCTTCTTAGGCGACTAGAAACTGTCAGTAAAAAGCTAGGGCTAGTAATTAATAAAAGGAAAACTAAATTGATGATCTTTGACCGTTTCGCTTCCATCCAATATACAGATGCACTAAAGGAATACGAGACCGTAGAAGAGTTCTTGTATCTTGGGTCAGTCATCAGTAACAGAGGAAACAGTGAACCAAATACGACGACGCATCGTTATGGCAAAAACTGCCATGACACAACTTGCAAAGATATGGAAGGACAGAAACATTCGCAATAGAACAAAGATACATATAGTTCGCACTCTAGTCTTTTCCATATTTTTTTACGGCCTAGAAGCCTGGACGCTTAAAGCTAGCAAAAAAAGCAGGCAAAGAATTGACGCTTTTGAGATGTGGTGTTGGCGTCGCCTATTAAGGATTCCCTGGACTGCGCATTGTACGAACGTATCCGTGCTTAAGGAATTGCAGTTGCAAAACCACAAACGCTTATCTTCTGTCTGTTTGCTCCGCATTGTGCAGTTCTTTGGTCACATTGCACGCAGAAGCGCTGATAGTCTCGAGAGCGTGATTGTTACGGGCAGGATTGAGGGCAAACGACCTAGAGGTCGAAGTTCGAAACGATGGTGTGACCAGGTGGCTGAAAGTCTGACAGTACCAGTGAGTGTCGCATTCCACCTAGCCAAAGACAGAGTGCAGTGGCGAGGATTGATTGACGGTATACTTGCTCAAAGTCACGATCCTCAGCAGTAAGAGACCGACGGAGGAGGAGGAGCCACTCGCTATACAAATGTGGAAGCGAAACGCTTCGTGCGAATCCTGGGAATATCCACAACATAAAGGTGGAACCCCAGCCCACGTCTAGCACCCCGATGATGGAAAGGGGAAGGCGGAATCAAATTATGCAATTCCATCGCACACTCTCCGTGATATATCCTGTAAAACACCGATAAACTGCCAATTCTACGGAGGTGCTCAAGGCTCTGCAGCTTCGTCTCTACTAATTCCGAGTCACCTATACCCTCTTAGCACGCTTGTCTATTGAATCATGAAGAAATAATCAGAAGAAGAATGGTATTTAGCAGAGCCATCCCATAAGTGGCAGCAGTACTCCAGACACGACCGGACTTGTGCTTGGTATAACTGAAGCAACTGTCCCAGTGTGAAGTAATCCCTTACATTGGAAAGGATACTAAGCTTCCTGGCTACATTTATGGCCATGGATTCAATGTGTCTGCCGAAGTTCAGATTGGGCGACAGGTCCATTCGAAGTAGGTGAAGACGGTCGGCTATCGGTATCGATATATCACGAAAAGTCAGAGTTAGGTCAAAAGGACTCCATTTAGTAGAGAAAAGACACGCCTGCGTTTTGGTAGCGTTAAATTGACAAGATTGGCATCGGCCCAATCGAAGACTGTGACTTATGTGTTGACACAAAGAAAAAAACAATGCAAACGACTAACCATGGACTCTCGACAAGACTGGATTTCTTCTTCACTGGCCCTTGCATTTTCAAGTACCTGTCCACAACTGTGCTATCATCAGCATACCCAAAGGTACCTGCAATCAACATATCATTTATAGGTAGCAGAAACATGGTTGCGGACAGAACCCTGAGGAACTCCGGCACGTCGAACGTCTATCGCCTTCTAAGACCACTCGAATCGATTATATAATATTAAGTGAAGGGACGAACAAGTCGTGTGCCTAGTGGTAAGCGACACGCCTGTTAATAACAGTTGCAGTGCCAATCAGAGCTTCAAATCACAAAGATCTGAGAGGCTGACATCTCTACGAGTCGTTATACAAGTTCAAACGGAAGATCACAACTGCTTTATGGGTAGAGGGTTATTATTATTATTATTATACTTAAGGGTTTTATCCTGATTTCTTAGCTAATAGTTTTTGTTTTCTTTTTTCTTTACAGTATTTTTGAATTAACCAAGAAAAGCGTGAATTTAAATGTTTAAATTCACTCTACATGCAATTTGCAAATATTTTGTTTTAAATCGTTATGTTATTCTTTTCAATATTAAAAGGAAATTAGAAGTAAAATAAAACCAATTAATGAACAGTACTGCAGTCCTATGTTCACTTTCGATTTTTCAGCAGAGGAACTATTGAATCCCAAGCAATTTGGTTTGTTTGAAAAAACAAATATACGTAATGTAGATCTGAAAAAATAATTTCATTTCCAATGTGTATCAATCGCGATAACCTTCCTTAGACAAATTCTCGATAAGGTAATATTTATTTAAAAACGTAATCATAGTTTATGGTTTCTTTTTTAAATAATTACTAATTGCACAAAAGAATATTGCAATATTTTACAATATTTCTAGAGCGTGACTAAATAAATTTCAAAGGAAATTTGCATTAGTTCCAACTGAAGTATTTCTTTAATGTCTTTAATTGTAGAAAAATATTCTTTCTACAATTAATTTTAAATAATTATTAAAAAGATTTGCTTCATTATTATTTAATGAGATATTTTAAGTCAGTTTAAATATTCTTTTAATACTTATGATGTAAAAATAAAAATTATACTTCTTCTTTGCACCGTATTATATTTGTATCGTACATTATAATGTATTATATTGTATATTATTGCGGTGTAGAACTTATAGCCGCGTTTATCGCGTTACTATTAGCCGCCAAGCTGAACTGTGGGACATGTTTGCCATCGTAGTGAAAATATTTGTCAATTGGCATAAGGTAGTCGCCGATTGTTGGCTAAGGGCGCGTTCCCATTATGTCGTGACGACAGATAGTCGTACAGTTTAACTTATTAATTATCGTTCAGTTTTTTTGGCTGTCAAGACAATGGGATGAGCTAGAACGACAGTCGTCCGAAAAATGTGACGACAGATAATCGCAGCAATTATTGTCAACACGTTTTATTTATCGTTGTCTCATATCTGCAAAGGACAAGGCGGCTGCCGTAAAACGATAAATTATTGTCACGATCCAGTAAAAACAGCAAGGTATGACTATCGTTCAAAAAGTCCACGACACAGTCACGATACATAGTCGTGATATGGGAACAGGCTAGACACAACACTCGTCCAACGATAAATAAAACGTTACAAATCAAATCAAAATTCATTTATTTCAGACAAATGCAGTAATAATCTTCTAATACATTTATTTATATTTATACATTTATGTATGGAGTCCCATCAGGATCTACCAATATTAAAAACAAAAAAAAACAGTCCTCAAATTAAAGGCTGAGACTACATTCATTCTCATTTAATGAAGCATGATCGGGCAATCAATCCTTCCAGGCACAACGCGAAGAACGACATTTGAGCTGCCACGGATACGGCTTAGCAACGAGGCAGCTCTCTTTCTAAGAAAAGCATGAAAGCCATCCGTGTGAGCTTCTGCGAACATGCCCGATGCGCTGCAGTACCGCAGCAACCCCAGTAACACTCTAAATGAGTTGTTGTACTGTATGCGCATTAATTGTCTTCTGCGAACAGTTGACCCACAGATTACACGTATAATGATAAGACATAATGGGAACGCGCCGAAAGGTGCGCCAGGCGTAAAAGTACGTCATTGCTGACGGGGAAGCTCCTTTCGTTACAGAAAATAATACTATTTAAAAATTTATATTACATTTTAATTCTTTTAATTTTTCCTTTCATTTCTATGCAGATTGCTTCCTTGTGACGTCAGAAGAAGAGCAAATATTCTTCAAGTCCCCATCCAATGAGCCGACTGTATGCGGAATCTACATGATAGCAGAGCCTGACAAGAGGATTCAAGTAACTTTTGACTATCTCAACGTGCGCTGCGAAAACGAAGGATTAGTTTCGGTTAGTCCGTTTAGTAATCTGTTTGTTTTTATACCAATCCGACTAGCTGAAAGAGCAGAAATCGGTCCTAAAGTGATCCTTTACATCATAGTTTCCCAAAGTGGTCCCTACTGCCCCCCACTGGGCGCTGAAGAGTCCTAGTCCTGAATTATCTATATAAACCACACTACATAGGTATATATTTTATTCCTTGTGTTTTTTTTGTGTTAAGTTAATATAAAAAATACGTGTTTCCATTTATTTTTTGTGGCGGAGGGCGTTGAAATTTTTTTATCTTGCCAAAGCGGGCGGTGAGCTAAAAAGTTTGTTAACCAATGCTTTATTTAAATCGTATTCTTCCAAATTGGCCCAATGATGTTATGAAAATCACAAAAATATTACCTGAAACAAATTATATGAAATTTTAGAACTCTTATATTTAAGCAGAAAAAATTTATGAACTAATTGCGTTCGCAGTATATAACCCTCTTTCCTGAAAAATTGTCATTTTGCAGATGTGGTCTTATTACATCAAGAGTGCAATATAGCTTTTTATCTGGTTAACATCTTTATTGATTATAAGTAGAAGATTTTTCTTTTGATGTTTTCAAAATCTTAGGTTTTTTTTCATAGAATAAAACTCTAAGAAAAGTTTCCGAAGTAAGTAAAAACACATATCTTTCAAAGCAATTTATAACCGTCGTTCATCGTTATAAAACTTGGTACAGACGTGCTCGTAATTCAGTTGTCAAGTTGTTAAAATAATTTAAGTATCCCTCCCTGAGAACACTTACCGATATTGCATTTTAGCGCTATCAACGTGTAATCGAATTGCATGCTATCTCGTAGGTGTGGCAACTTAGAAGACTTTTGAATTCAGAAGCAAAAACGTGACACTCTCTTGCGACGCGCGTTATTTGCACTTTATTGAAAGCCTGCAGATGCATACAAAACGTTATGGCTACGTTGCTATATCCAATATGCATGAACCAATCTGTTGGTCTTACCACAATTTGTTTGACATCAAAAGTTATTTACATACAAAACGTGAGTGAAATTTCATGTCCATTTGGTTTTTTATATAAAATATTGTTAAGAATAAAAAACACAGTCCTCAAATTGAAGACGAATGTAGTCTCATACAATGAAGCATAATCGGACAATCACGTCGTAAAAAGTGTATAAATTATTTATTAAGTAGTTTCATCAAGGTTTAGTTGATCTACTAAACCCTGACGATTCTACAACACAATATATAGAGACACTACAAGAAAATGGACTCGAGAAACACTACAGAAGAAATCATTGCTGGATTTCATCACTTGACTCGTCTAGGTCCGATCATAAACAGTTATTTTTCGAAATAAAGAAATATAAACCACCAATAAAACAGAATAAAGTATGAATCCATAGAATACGGAAAGCTTCAATTATTCACAGTAGAAATCATAAAAACCACAAACAATAACAATTATGCTGGATTCGCTGAGAAGTTTTGTACTGTTATTGAAAAACGCAAGGTACAACACATTTAAATACTCAATCTGTCAAAACAGGACTGGATAAACAAAAAGATTTTGGACAGAAAAAATGAACTTTAAATAAAGCAAACCCGGAAGATAAAAATATTGAAAACAATTTCTTAGCGGAGAGAAAATTAGTAACCGATGAAATAAAAAAAATAATAAAAAAAGAATGAGTACTATCAATATAAATTTACAATCTGCAAAAATAAGCCAAATAAAATGTGGGCTTTTATCGATAGTCTCACTTATAATAAAATTAAGGACCTGGCAGTACCAGCTAAACTTGAAATAAATAAAATTGTAATAACCAATGGGAAAGATATCTGTAAATGTTTTAACGACTTCTTTTCAACAATAGGTTTAAAACTTGCACAAGCAATTCCTCAGCCTTCGGTTTAAACACCTTTACACCTTCAACAGTTAGTGACGTGGTTAAAATTATTTCCAATTTGAATATTAATATTAGTTCAGGCATTGATAACATAAACACAAAATCAATAAAATCTATTAAAGACTTAATTGCTGAAGAACTGTCTTGTTGTATAAATTGCTGTATGAAAGAAGGTACATTCCCCAGAAATCTGAAAATCGCTAAAGTAACACCTATCTACAAGTCAGGAACAAGATCGGATCGTAATAACTACCACCTCATATCTGTACTCCCTATTTTGTCTAAAATATTTGAAAGAGTTATCTATACTTTGCAAACAATATATATAGACCAAAATAAAATCCCCTATCCGCAATTAGACCTACAGGTCTAATAAAAAATAACATCGCCGAAAATAAAATCTGTTTGGGCATATTTATCGATTTAAAAAAGGCATTTGATACTATTAGTCACAAAATCTTTCTAACTAAAATTCCAACATTTGGTTGTAGCATTCTTGAATAATATCTGTAGTTCGATATCAAGTAGTTAGAATTGGGGAATCCCAAAGTTCTACAACACCTGTTACATACGGAGTCCTTCAAGGATCGATCCTTGGCCCTCTGTTATTTTTGATTTATATCAATAACATTAGCAAACTTGAACTAAAGAAAGAACGTTCACTATACGCCGATGACACTTGTTTGTTTTACTTTGGTCATGACATTGAATCGATTGCCACGAATGGTCAGAACGACCTCAATATTCTGAATAATTGGTTCCAGAATTATCTTTTAACTATAAATATTACATAAACGCACTATATCATATTTACAGCTAAAAATAAAAATATATCAAATTTTCAACCGCCTAAAACTAAGAATGTAGAAATTGAGACATCAGATAGTGAAAAATATTTAGGTCTTATTTTGGATAGTGATTTGACGTGGAAGTCGCACATTAAAAATATAAAATCGAAGTTGGCTTCATTGGCGACTACCTTACCTCAAGTGCGCAACTGTACAAAAACACAAAATTTATGAATATTGATAAATCATATAAATATTTTACATGCGCACTAATTCGAAAAATATTATTAAAAGACATTCACACTGATATCAAATTCAAAGCTAAAAATGAACGTACGCAACTTAGGCGACTACGAAATGCTATTAACATAATATTACGGCCACCGCGAACCAACTATAGCTAAAATAATATTACCTTTCTAAGTGCACAATTTGCAATAAGTTGCCTAACAATATTAAAGAAACTAAAACACACACAGTTCATCTACTAAATGAACCTTAAAAACTATACGTAAAGTAATTTAAAACAAAAATTAATAAATAATAATAATAACACTGTATTTCCTGGACTTAGGCATGTATGTTTTGTCGGGTCAAGGGAGTTTTTCTTTGTGTTCGATTTTAGTATTAATAATATGGGTAGGCCGCCCACCAGGTGGACCGACAATCTGGTAAACGTCGCGGGAAGCCGATGAATGCGGGCAGCGCAGGACCGATCGTCGTGGAGATCGTTGGGGGAGGCCTATGCCCAGCAGTGGGCGTCATACTGTTGAATGACAATTATAACAAACTAGTGAAGTTATTTCATAAAGATATATTTTATAAATTTTTTTTTTTAAGAATTTTTTTTATAAATTTGCGTACGCGGATGATACTGCCGTCGTTTTTGCTGGGGATTCATGGGACTCGATTAGGATTAGTGTTGAGTTGGGTCTTTCACAAATAAATAGATGGTTGCGTTGTAATATACTGTCATTGAACGCTGTCAAGTCCAACTTCCTGTGTTTTACTAATTACAATAACACACAACCATGTGAGGATTTCAAGATTCAAATCCATAACTGTGACAAGAACCTTTCAGATCATTTCGTATCTTGTACATGCCCGCGTTTACAAAGGGTTGATCAAACTAAATACCTAGGTATCATCTTAGACCAGCGTCTCTCTTGGTATCCGCACCTCGAGCATGTCACAATAAGAATTAGGAAACTAACCTGGATCTTCAAATCGCTTAGGTACGTCATGCCGCATAGAAGCACTGGACGAGCTTCCACCACAGTATCCACTAGAGACCTTCTTAAAGAGATTTATATTTCTCTTGTACAGTCTATTATTACGTATTGTATTCCTGTCTGGGGAGGTGCAGCTAAGTCAAAATTTATTGTAATAGAACGAGCGCAACGTGGATTGATTAAAATGATGTATTTTAAAAAACGAATTTACTCTACTGAAAATTTGTATCAGCTAACAAAACTTACATCTGTTAGGAAACTTTACGTACTCTACACTGTAGTAAAACAACATCGAAATTTATTTTATGAATCTAGGGATGCTGGTAGAAGAAAAAACTATAAAATAGCACTGGTACCTAAAATAAAAACTACTGCAGCTAGTAGACAGTACAAGTTCAGGGCCGCTCAGCTATATAATACGTTAAATAAAGAACTTGATTTATACATGAAAACAGTTCGCGACTGCAAGGTAGCCATTACAAAATGGCTTGAAACTAAGTCATATGAGGAGATTGAGGAATTATTACAAAGCTGAAATAAATAAACACATAATTTAATGATTAAGATATGTATGTATATATATATATATTTATATATATATATTATATAATATTTAAAATATGCAACAATCGATATTTAATAAATATAATTCATTATATACATAAATATTTATGATCATAAACAATACTTACTTAGTTATTTTTTGGGTATGAACATACAGTACGTATTTATTTATTTTTTATTTGGTGTAATATGTTACAAGTACTATATATATATATATACACTTTATAATATTTAGGGTATGGTGGGTTTTGCAATTGGGTGACATGCAGGCACACTTTTACACTGACTCACACTTTTACACACATTTTCATTTCATACACTTTTACACATACTTGCACTGAGACATACGTAGGTTAATTAGTTTTTAATCTGTAGTGATATAAATTTTAATAGTTAAGTACCAGTTTAGTTATTTATAACATTCACTTATTTTATTTTTACTTCTTATTTGTACTTTTAGTAATACTTAAAACTATATTAGGATTATTATTATTATTATATAAGAGCAAACTGTTACTAAATTAAATTAGAAGAGCGGTGTTTCCTAACACAGGCCCTTTCAAGCCTAAAAGGAAACACCAGCCCCTGTAATATGCCTCTTGAAAGTAACCAATAAAACATTTTTATTTTTTATTTTTTTTTTATGAATATCACGATGGTTAACAGTGTAAAATTCAATAAAAATACATGATAATAATAAATTTCAAATAATAAACAAAACCTGCAACGTAGTAGATAGTGTAGACTACGCTTGTGCGAACGCGCGATGCTCTTGCCCAGTATGTTATGTTAGTTGAGTCAAAACTACCCACCTCTAAAAAAGTCATATTTGTGTTACATATATTTTATGCATTTAGCGCTTGTCGTACAACGTTCTATGTTTATAGCTGATGTAATATTACTATATTTAAGTTTCTCATTTAAGTCAATGTATAATTCTTTAGAGAAAAAAAATTCTTAAACCACAAGTAAATTTTATCTACTTTATTAAAAATGTGAGATGTATTTGGTTAATTATATCTGAGTAAATAGTAACTTATTGTTACACATTGATTACTACTCATAGAGCTTATGCATACAGTGTATTTTTTACTCGCAGACGATGCGCGTTTCACGCGTTGTAGTGGCTTAAAATGATTTGAGATTGTTGCGTTTGTTCCAAACGCGCGTGCAAAGCTATACATATGTACTTGAGAAGCGCGTTCAGAGCTCGCTTGCATCGTGTTTAGTTTGAATAGATTCAAGGCTGAGGAAAGGAGCAAGGATGGGGCGTGTGGTCACGTTTCACTGCGTCGCTCCGCCACCCGCAGTCGTCTGTATCGTTTCCGACGCCACTGAATTTGTCAACGTCAGACGAATGAAGGTTTCGTTTGAATTGCGTTAATGTCATCTGCGCGTAAAAAATACGCCGTGTGCACAGACAGGCTCTTATATCCCAATTAATGAAGCTCCACGAAATCAAATGAATAAGTTTTAAATAAAAAGTTTTTTTTTCAGTGGGTGGATGGCTGGGAGCTTAGTGGCCAAGTGTGGCCTGCTGACAGTTGGAATGATGACCGTGTGCTGGAAACTTGCGATCAGAGGCCTGCGCGGACCTTGATCTCTCAGCAAAACGCTGCCCTCATACAATACCGAGTGCCTGCAAGGGGACAGGGCTTCGCTATCACTATAAAGCATGTGAAGAATAATAAACGTAAGTATTGTTTATTTAGTGCCTAACCGTGTAATTTCTATTTATTAATATTTGAATTTGGTAGTCAATTATTTGAATGAATGAATGAATAAATGAATGAAATATTCTTTATTGCACATAAAATTACATTATTTGCATTGACCTATGATTATTTATGACAAAATATATTATATATTTTGATTATAGTGTTCCATTTCATGACAACTATGGCAGAATAATAGTAAAGGCGTAATTGGCATCGTTCTCATCGTTCTCATAGACACTTTTGACACGCTTTTTATAAACAAGTTTTTTGTTGTCTATTTATTATCGTATTTATCGTATTTCTTTTTGTGTTATGAAGGAGTTATGTAATATTCTATTATTGCTTGATATTTATGTGTTTTGCATGTCAAATAAAGCCGAATTTATTTCAATTTCTTTTTATTTTCTAACAAGCCTATTTGGCTTTAATTGATGATCAAATGTGATAACTGAATGAAAGTTCGATGTATACAATGTGTTGATTTGCATTCTCGCCATATTTACAGAGGTCATTCTATATCCGAAACTGAACCCAAATCACTAAAAAAATTAATCGAAAAAAATTTCTTAAAATCTTATTTTTTATTTAATTGCGGTAACCATGCTTGATCCAAAGGTCATTGACTTACACTACACACTACGGCAACCATTTGAACAATGAGCTATAATGCCTATGCGCAGAAAATATGCATTTTAGATCTATTTGGTGGTAGGGTATGGGTAGGGACGGGATAATTAATCGAGCGCGTGATTGGTAGATCATCAGTACCTTGCGTATTGCGTCTACGTTCCGCTGACGTCGCGCATACGTTCTAGTTACTCACGAAATGCAACGTGGTTTGGTGAGTAAACAAGAGTTAGTGCATAAAAAAAACGTTACCATGTTCACCAGACCCTGCATTACCTTATGGCATGGTGTGAAACGTTTAGTTTACACAGATTACGAGTGTCGAAAAATTGCGCGCAAAAATCGTGGTTTCTTTCTGCTTTTTCTGTTATGAAGAATGTGCTAAGTTGAAACGAAACCCTGCATATCTGTGGCTGGCTCCGGTACGGAGCCTGCCACCAGCTGTGGAATATAATTTATAAAAATAGGTAAATAAGCAATCGAGAAAGATTACGTATCGCTCGGTGACGCTAGTGGCGGGGTCACCGTCCCCCGCGGTGAATATACTTGGGGACAATTTTACAAAACTTTACTAGATACAATCAGCCAGAATATTAAACAGAATATTTTTTTAAATATTTTTAGATGATTTAGGTAGCATTATTTCTATTATTAATTAATATGGCGAGAATGCCAATCAACACACTGTATAAGCTTTTAAAATGAGTTAGAAATGGTAATACTTATTTTATACGTTACACTTTAGTGACGCCATTTTACTTTAATTACTTTAACTGTTATTATCTCTGGTGTTAGTTGGTAGTTAAAAATCTATCTTAAACATGTATATTTGTATATATAACTTATATATTACGCAATGTATATGGAAAACTGTGACTAAATACGCTAGACTGCCACACCAATTATCCGGTCTGAAACTAGAGAATTCCATGTAATATGAGTACCAGAGCAACGGAATTCACTCTGGGGCAATATCCAGAACACCCAGAGCAGAATCAATTATACTTATTAATTATCAGTCAATAATGAAAAATCAAATCAATATATTAGGTGTGCTCCATCGTGGACCTCATCGTCATTTTTCATCATTTATATAAATCGATACCTCCAATGAACACTACGCCAACTTAATTTTTGGACCTGTTCTGTTTTTATTTGGTTTTTTGTTTCTTTTTTGTTCCCAAAGTTCGTTCGTTTTCTTTTTCGAATTTTGTTTTTTCTTTTTTTTTTCACAAGATTCGGGGAACATGATATTAGTAAATAAATATGGTTCTTTACAAAAATAACAGAAAATGACCATAAAATAAAATTGCCGTTGGGCCACTAACGTTGTACCATAACTACTTTTATTTATAGATCAAGTAATTTCACTCATAAATACTAATTACATTTATATAAATTTATCATGGCTGTAAAGATAAAAACAGAAATAAGCGTTAAAATTTTTAATACTACGCACTTCACATAGTAAATATTCGTCAAATGAAAATTAAAGGCCATAAATAGGATACGTTTGACCTCATTAACGTTTACGAGTATTCCACAGCGTGTAATGTGGTGCTGTTCGGCTCTGAGGGCGTATACACACTGCGGAACCACGGTGAGGCTGGAAACTGTTCGGTGATCTCCGTGTCCCCGTCGACCATTCGTGTACTTAACATCGATGTTGGACAAACTGTGAAACAATCGAGAAAAGGCCTTATGGATTTTGAAACTGGAACTATTCACCATGTAAGTATTAGTGATAGGTATAGGAAATTAAACATTTATTCGGATCTAAATCGCGTACCTACTTATATTTGTTTTTTCAAACAAACCAACGTTTCATTGGTGTGACCACGTGGCGTCACACCCGTGATCATGGTATGTGGGGTTCAACTCTCTTTCTCCGTCCGACATCCGTCCGAAATAATTACTGTAAAATAAGTAATACTCGACCATGTTAAAAAACAATGTCAAGTATGAAGCTTCATTCGCATCAAGCGTATTTTAATTTAGTGGAGTATTAATTATTTGACAGTAATTGTTACGACCGGAGAACGAGAGTACAGGGTCTGTACAGGACCCGAAACGTTGGTTTGTTTGACTGCCGGGCACGGGTCTTTAAACAATCAGCTAGTCTGGCCTCTAGTCCAAGATATAACTAACATTTAATAAAGATTATTGGACAACATCTCATACGTTGCTCTGATCCCAAAGTAAGTAACTAAAGTACTTATGTTACAGAAATTACAAACAACGACGATACCATAAACACCCAGACCCGACACAATATAGAAAAAATAATTTCTACGTTGACGCGGCCGGGGATCGAACCCGGGACCTCAAACACGGCGACGCCATAAAAACCGGCGTTCAAACCACTCGACTAGAAGGTCGTTAATATTAAAACATATATATAATAGTCATCAACAATCTATTATACGTTTCATTGATAAATGCATCTTCTCTAAGGCTCATCTCACACTGGCGCAGAGTCGAAGTGTCGCGACGCGTCATTTTTTTCGCCTATAGCATATTCATCTCTATTTTCCCTTTATTAAGGTATGTACATTTGTACCTTACGTGTCATGCAAATATGGAAACGCGCGCCTTCGCCGCCTTCGCCTTTGCCTTTTTGTAGTTGAAAACGACGCGATGCGACGCGACAGTGTGAGTTAAGACTAACAGTTGGCGCGTTGCACGTTGTATTTTCCCGACAAACGCTTGCGCCTGCGACAGCAGCCCGTGTTTGCGGTTGGCGTAACGTTCACAATATGCCCCTGCTCATAGGGCGTCACCGTTGGCCATTTCCTAGATTGCTCATCACCGAGATAATTCATAAAAAAAAGACATTTCCTTATAACAATGAAAAGAAAACGAAGTTTTTCAAGGAAGTCTATGTTTATGTTAATCGTGTATTAACCTAAAATTCATATGGATTATTGGAATTTTCTTCATATATTTTTAATTATCTTTTTTCTTATTTTGAATACCCTGTGTCGGTACGTTTTGGGAAACTGTAAATGCATAGCGTTATGTAAAATAAATAAGGATATAAGGAAAGTGTTTAGGCCACAGAATGTAACGCTGGCCCGATGCTAGTTGGGGACTTCACACGTTTTACAAGACCTATGAACCTACTTTGACCGTTGACGTAGCTATGTATTCAGTATCAATAGAGCTTCTGGCCAAGCAGTAATGTGAGCATTACTGCGTTCCGGTTTTAAGGGTAAGGGTTCTAGTGAAATTACAGGCACATGTTGTCAACTTATGTCTCAGGGTGACGGGCGCAGTGGTAGTGCCCCGCAGATCTTCGCGATTTAAAGCTCTGAGTGCGCTGCAACTGTTATGGACAGGCGTGTCGCTCACCACCAGGCGCACGACTTGTTCGTCTCTTCACCTGGGGTTATAAAAAAATAATTATCACGATGTTTCCTTTCCCTGTTGGCGAAAAGTATTATTGCTTCTTCTTTTTATCGTATCGATAAGAAGAATCACTATATTTGTTGCCCAGAATCCAGACACGCCAACCGTGTCACTAGCAGCCGCTATTAAATCCTCGAGCGTGCAGGTGTTAGGGCATATAGGGAACGATGTGTGTGTATGTATGTATTGCTACTTAACATTCACCTCATTTTGCCGCCACAGGGGTTAGAACCGTCGACCTTTTAATTGCAATTATCTCCACCCAGCTCCGACCATAGCTCTAAGATTTCGTTTCGTTTAATACAAATACGTGGAGCGCATTATAAGTTTCCGGAATAAATAAGAAAAAAATACTATAAATGGTCAGAAATAAATTTATTGTTTCTCAAAACATTATCCTTTAGCATTGATGCTTTGCTTTAGTGTTGAAGCTTTTTCATACGAATGAACCAATTTTGAAAACATTTATGCCACTCTTCTGTGACAATCTCTGAAACATATTTTTCAAACTCTTTGAAGGCCTCTTCAGGTGATAAAAATCATTTACCGCGTAACTGGTTCTTAATTTTTGGAGATATATAAAAGAGCTTTAAATCGCAAAGAACTTATGGGCATTGCCACTGCGCCTGTCACTCTGAGACATAAGTTGACAAGTCTCATGTGCCTGTAATTTCACCAGCATCCTTACCCTTCTAAACCGGAACGCAGCAATACTCATATTACTGCTTGGCGGCAGAAATAGGATATAGGAATAAGATGGCAAGGTGGTGGTCTCAGCACAGCGAACGAATAAAAAAAATGTTTTTGTTTTACTTATATTTTGAATATTGAAAAGAATTTTCGAAATAATAAAGAAAAACAATGGAATATGTAAAACAGCACGAAATCATTTTAATTATTTTTTTCTTAATGTGTGTTGTTAGCCAACACACTAGCTTAGTTTAGCTAGAAACACGATAATAATGGGACATTCGCGCCTCACGCTTCTTTCTAATAACACAATACTGCCAACATTTCCGAGCAACATTGAAATAATTACCTTACTTCGTTTAGTTTATGGAGAATAAACTTCCTATATGAATCTCCGTGTGACCTTGATATATTTGCTTTATTTTATAAATAAGGTTTATTTTGAATGATGGAAGTATTTTAACAAAATTCTGGCTTATCATTTTTTTCCCTATTTTAATTCGTAAATTAGCATTGGATGTTTGTAAACATGTTCGTGATGTATTGTTAAGAGGCACAGTAAAACAAAAATATACGAATTATGATGATTTGAAAAAAAATGGCCAGGGACTGATCAAATAGACAACAAACGTATATAAAATGAAACAACTCACAAAAAAATAGTTTATTTTTTAGTTTTAGCTAAGCAAAAAAACACGCAAAATGTGCATTAATTTTTCAGTCATAATAAATCACTTTAGTAATATTACTGTCAATGTAACAAAAGTACTTAATTAAAACGACAACTTATTAATTATAAAATACTTTCTAGTCAGTCTGACCGGGATCATATTGTCATAAAATCTTGATGCTTAAAGCTTGCAAAATGCATTATTAGCCTGTATCTGGTTTTCAGTCACTTACCACGAACGTGAACAAGGCACTGATATACAGGAGACTGATATTTTAACTGTGAATTTGTTAGATCTTTTCAATCCACCACTTTATCTACTATCAATAGGCTTAGGCACAATAGGGGTAAATGACTATTGCGTCTATACAAAAAATACCGACTATCCGAGGTTGGTTATTGATGAAAACACTCGCGACACAATTTATTACCTTTCAACGAAAACTAAATGCGTGCTATGTTATCATCTGCGGCTTGATGCAAACTTCAAGTGCTACGTACGTGCTACGAAATAGCAAAATTACAAGAAAATAATAAGTACTATTTGTGATAATTTTGGAGTCACATTTTTCCAGGGGACTAAATAATAAAATATCAAATTGCAGCTATAACACAACGAACCAAACCATTATAATGAGTGCCAACGACCACCTATTTAGTTCGGACTGACACCGCTAGATGGCGTTGGGATCGAGTTAAAACGCTCTATCAAAGTGTTCACTGCAAATAATGACATCGGACATGGAATTTTGAATATGGGTACTGTGCTAGGGTGCTCAGCCGCTTTCTTACCTCGCTTCCGAATTAGCTTCCACTTCTGGGACTCCTTTGGGACGTGATAACTTGTTTCTATGTAATTTGCTTCCACTTGTGGGACAATTTCCGTAGCATCCGTTGTAGCTGCGCGCATAGTCGTAACCCCTCTGCGTTACCTGCTTCCACTTGTGGGACAGTTTCGTAGCCACCAACTCTCTACGTTACCTGCGTCCACTTGTGGAACAGTTTCGTAGCTTCGTAGCCGTAGACCATCTCACTGTACCTTTTAAGGTGCTGCTACAGCAATAAACCTCCAGTATCTACATACAAGTCTTCTGGATTTTATTTGCCGTACGCCCGACACAGCGACAAAAGTATTTAAATGAGTTTGGGTGTAAAATAAGCAATAGGCTGAATGTACTTCCCTTGTATATAATGGTTCATTTCTTGACTTTGAAATAGTAAGACAACTATTAATTGAAGCTTAGTAATTCAGCTTTTATACGAGTTTTTCTATTCCATTTCGGAGTTGCGACATACCAGGGGACTGAGGTTTTGAAACTTCAAAGGTCATGTTTTCGTAAACAAATAATTCCTTATGTGTCGCCAGTTTCAATGGGTAGATGGTTAATGATGTAAATAAAGGTGTAGATATAAAAATAAGCGATCTAAGGAAGAAATTTCACATGATATGTCTCGGGCCATAGAAAATTCCGTCATGATTAGAACGTACCAAAAGCGTTTTCGTTAGTTACCTCTAATCCTGTCCCTTAAGTCCCATGAATATTGTACATATACAACAAGATAATCCAAATATAATAGCTCACGTTAAGTATGTGTACACAGTAACCGTAAAGTGCGTAGTCTTTTATCCTGAAAGGCTTCCTTAAGTTGAAACGATCTTATCCAATTTAAGCTTTCGTTGAAAGACATAAATTAATTTTTATTCACTTATCGGTTTAATATAAAATGCAAGGAATCTGAGTGCTATTATTTAACTATATATCCGGTTCGTTTATCTGTGAAAAAGATATCTAAATTGACATCAGAGTTCCTAAATATACCTGATTTTGTTTTCTAATAATATAAACATCAAATTATAAATAACATGAGTGGAATGGTAAACTATTAATATTTACATTTTTTTCTGTTACTAATCTTAGTTCAAAAAGCGAATTTGAAAAACCACTTCGTAACATTATGTGTGGTCTTTTTTTGCTTTGTTTTTATTTCACATGAAATAAAAACATACAAACATTTGAGCAATAAAGCGTGATGTACTTGGGATTTCGCTGATGGACCGAATTTGTAATAGGGCTCACATATCAAAGAGCTAAAATAATCGATGTAGCTCGCTGTATATACCCCTATATGCGCTGTTGATATAGTAAACTGAAAACTCAGTGGGACGGTCGTGCCTGCAGAAGGGCTGATGGCCAATGGATCAGTCTGAATTGGCGACCATGTCAAAGTAAACGTAGTGCAGAATGCACTGTGGCACGATGAACTGACGACTGTGGCCAGCACTGGTTAGATGAAGGCGGCACAAGACCGATCTTTTGCCCGAGCGAAAGAGTTGGTGTGCTCTGGGGGAGGCTTACATATATTCAGCAGCATACGCTGCTGTTTATACGAATTCTCCTATAAACTGATAAATAATGATTAAGAATATATGATAGATGGTATTTGCTTACTAGAAATGTGGCTGAAATTAATAAAATCTTTGTCCTGCTATTGTGACAATTTGCACACAGAGCCCACACCTTAATAACGCACACACTCAACATAGCCCCGCACCAGGGAAACCCTGTGTCACGGGTGCCATGGACACACACATAGACAACCACAAATTATACCCAAACTCACGAGATAAATAAATGTAGGCCATATAAATATTTCTCCCGGCCCGGGAATCGAACCTGGGACCTCTGCGTGGCAGTCCCAAATGGCAGCCGTTCGGCCACGGAGGCATTATTGTCTCTGATAAGTCTAAAGAAATTTACATTGTTACATTGCCTTCGCAGTACATTTATGAAAACGTATGCTAAGAAGAATAATAGTATTTGTTGTTTTTTTCATGAAAATAGATATACCTAGTAGTCGTCTTTACGTCGTATGACTTTCACAATGTTTTTTATAGATCATGGTATGCCATGATCTATAAAAAACGTTGTGAAAAAGATATCTATAAGCGATATATATAAGCGGTCTGACTAGTATTGACAATAATCGCACTGCTAGACGTGACGCGGTCGCGAACGTTGCACTCAACCCCTGAAGAAGACCTACGATTATGGTTGAAACTAGTCGGACCGCTTCCGACTAAAATACTACGCGAGTAAGTCCCTTTACTTTTATATTATAATGTGTGATAACCGTGTTAGTTTTCATAATAAAAAAAGAATAATGATTATGCGAATAAATGTAAAATATAACACATATACCTTAACTAGGAGAATCCTGTATTTCAGGTAAAAAATAATAATTATACAGGTGAATATATGATGATCAAATTATAAACAAAAAAATATTGAAATATAAACAAAACAATAATAATAATTAAACTATGAAATTCAAATCATATACCTATTACTCTTAAATTAGACAACATTTATTTTGGGATAATTAATAAATTCTCTGTATCGTCGTAGGACATATTTTGAAGGAATTCTTGGAGAATTTTCTTAACCTTTATGTAACAAAAATGATATATGGCCAGTTAATTGTGTTATTAAACAGTTAAGTGGCTTTTAATATATTATAGAAAATTGGACCAAGAAACACAAAAAATCTGGAAATAAACACATGTTTTGATGATACAATTTTGGGGCAGACAATATCTTTCCGTCTTTTGTTAGTGTTTTCATTACTATATGGGAGTGCAATGTGCTGTTTGAGAACTGTGGACTTAATAAATAATTGCCTTACAGTTAGTACCTTACACGACTTATACAGACGTTAGTGGGGTAAAGGAAAGGGCGGAAGGTAGAAACCTTTAGAACCGCTCGCTGGGCTCTCTCAATGGTTAGTTATGAAGTTTTAGCAATACCACCCCAACATGTAATAATTGATTGACATATGGCATAATAAACTTGCCTGATTATTTTAAAATCAGTAAAAGCGCATAGTTTTTTAAACACATACATTAGCTTACGGATTCGACCGTTTAGTGCTTCGATATGGTGCTTAAAAGTGAGGTTATCATCTATTATAACACCTAAATACTTTACCTTGTTAGTAATAGCAATGTCTGGACACTTGCACAGGTTGTTAGTAGTCTCCTTACAATGGTGAGCATAAAGTTGTGTGTTAGTTATAACAGACTTTGGTTTTCGCATATACAACGCATGAAATTAGTTTTATCTGTGTTTAGTGTTAATAAATGCTGCTGGAGCCAGTTATTTACGATATTGAATCCTCCATGGAAATGGAACTCCTTTCCATGTCACGTATTCCCTTCGTCATACGATATGGGGTCCTTCAAACGAAGAAATTTCTAATGAAGAGGCATCTTCTAGGCATGCAGTGTGGAAGTGGCTAGGGCAGTGATTGTATCATAACACTACACTAGATATCTTCACGTTTGAATTTCATTTTCCATTTTACATCAGGTGGAATGGAGTCATCTGCCTGTCAAGTATAAAAAAAGATACGATAATAATAAATGAATTTGTACTGTCAAGAGCATGTCAAGTTTGATACTTAAGATTTAACTAACTTAAGATAAACTCAACTCTATGCCGCTTATGAATACTTATGCTCAGAATGATCCGTCGTTCTGTGCCAAACTTAATGTGTGTGCTTTTGAGTTTATAATATGTGTATTATTATTTCGCAAAGTACTACTTAGTACCATTCGTTCTTATAGCGAACAATGCAAATATGTGTAATGTTGAAACATTAGGAAAAAGGATAATTATTCTAAACCTATCAATTATTCTTTATATAGTGCAAGAAGAGGGGACTATCTGACTACGTGGACATCGGCGGCGCTAGCGGCTTGGACCACACCAAAATGTTTGTCTATGAGAACATGTGCGGGCTTGACTCTACTGAAGGTAATCTTAATAATTACCATAATCATTGATCTATATATCGTTACTCTTGGTATAATAAAGTCACATGCGATCACATATCAAAAGTGCATCACATAAAAAACTAGTACGAAATATATGAAACAAATTGATGTGAAATTATATTATCCACTAATTTAATTCCTACAATTTTTAAGCCGTGGCGCGATGTGACTTTATTACACCAAGGATAGTATATACTTTCCACTATACGTATCTCTTTTACGCTAATGAGATTTTTTAAATTTTAATTGGTTCTTAACAAGCATTTTAGCAGCTCAGATTACAATTTAGTAATCTGAGTTTAGCGTACAATTTAGTAATCTGAGATTAAAGTATCCTTGTTTGATTTCACAGCGATTTGTAAATTATCCAAAACAAAAACAAAAATAACACAAAAAATGTAGTTTAGAAACCTTAACAGACTATTTGAAAAAGGTTCTAACTTCACGCTAGTGGCTAGGGGTCTACTCGCTTTCCGACATTCGTCCGAGACAATTAATGCCAAACAAGTGTCAAGTAACTCGATCAAATCACAGTAGTACAAACGACAGTAGTTTTTAGTAGCCGCAGAGCTCCTTGTGAAAGAGTTCGTCCAGGAAAGTGCTGCCACCTTACCTATTTCTGCCGCCAAGCCGTAATGTGAGCATTGCAGCGTCCCGATTTAGAAGGGTAAGGGTGTTGATGAAATTACAGGCACATGGGACTAGTCAACTCATGTCTCAGGGTGACGGGCGGGGTGGCAGCTCCCCTAAAATCTTTATGATTTAAAGCTCTGAGTGGCACTGCAACGGTAATAACCTGGCGTGTCGCTTACCACCAGACCCACAACTTGTTCGTCCCGTCACAAGGTATCATGAAAAAAAGTTACTATTAGAACAAGACCCCATAAGTCATCGTTAGCCAAGGATCCCATCTGTGACAAGGGTATCTGAAAAAATATTAACAAAGGAGTTAGTTTTTGGGTCGCATATACATATTGACCTAAAAGCAAACAATACCTAGCCGGGAATAAACATAGCACAAATCATAAACTCCATAGTAATTAATGTTTAAATAAGCTATGAAAAGGAACTATATTTTCCAGATCTAAAATCGCGTGTATTTGCTTTTTAAACAAAATCAACGTTTTGACTGAGATGATAAAGTCATCAACCAGTTATGTCTAATATAACTCAAACCACCCTATTCTGAACTACAGCTACAAAAGCATTATACATATATATATATA